AGTGGCGGAGGCGAAGGCAGGCGGCATCCGCGAAAAATTACTGGCATGCGTGGAATCCAATCCCGATGTACGTTTGCCTAGGAGAACCTCACGGGGTTATTTGACTATACCAATGATTAACTCGAATATCTTGTGTTTGCTCCATGGTATATATATTACAGAGATCATCCGAGGCGCTACGCGAGCTTTTTGAGGAAATTGCCAAGGAAGAAAGTGACTGTAGCAGGTTCGTGTCTTGAAGGTACTTCGGTTCGTTATTGTTGCTTAAATGTCCGTCCTGTGTTCATCCAGTGCGAAGCGCGGAGGCGACCTGGGACCGTTCACGCGCGGCAAGATGACCCCCTCTTTTGAAAAGGCTGCGTTTGCTCTTAAAGTTGGCGAACTCAGCGACTTGGTGGAGAGCGACAGCGGCGTCCATGTCATTCTCCGCATCGCATAACTAAATTCTCATACTCCAGACCCGGGACGGATGAATAAAACCCAGCGCCAACCAAAGATGCTGACTTCTGCCCGCAGCATTTATCACACAGCACAACCTTGTTGGGGTTTGTTTGTGTTACCCAGTCATACAAAATGAAACTTGTGCGGCGTTGGTGAATGATGAATACATTGCGCCAACATTCACGTATGACGAGTTGATGACAGTCTATGGGGATGGATATATTAGCTAGGAAGCCAGAAAACAGTCTAAAGCTCGAACACCTTGGCAAACACGTTGTCCTCCTCTTTGTCTTCAGCGTCGGCACCGTTCGAGAAGAGACCATTGCAAGGCTGGAAGGCAAGAGGCACCTTGCCCTTCTCCTTACGCTTTAGCTGCTTGTCGAATAGGCTCTTGTACGTGATCTCCATGCTCTCGTCCACATCCACAAACTGGTGACGTAGCTTCTCCTCGAACATCCGCGCCTTCAATGCAACATCAGCGTTGTAATGATGCTTCATCGTGTACAACTCCCACAGAGAACTCTGCAGGGCATTGCACTTGATCGGGTCCAGCTCGTCGTTAATGAACGGGTCGTGACCGTCCTTCAGCACCAGCTCCGTCTTCTCACTGGACAGTTTTTTGGCTGCAGCATCGACAGCAGACCCACTCGACAGTTCCTCTCGACGCTTAGCAGCCTTTTCTGCTGCGGTGAACGCACCGGTGCGGTGGATGAGCTGCAGACATTCCTTGTGGCGCAAGATCAGGTTGTACACCATCGGGATAATGAACAGGATAGCGCCAGGCTCGGCTGTCAACGCACTGCGTGACAACCGCTTGGCGAATGCTGCTACCGTGTATGCCGGTAAATGCGTAGATGACAGGAAGAGGTTCAGTAGACCGAAGAAGCGGTCGCGCTGCTTGGCTGAATACAGCGAGGGATCGTCCAGTAGTGCGTACAGCTTGTTGTAGAAGTCCGGCGAGTCAAAATTATAGTCCTGAATGAGGATGAACAGACTGTTGAGCGCCAGCAAACTCGTGACGCCGCCGATGCTGTACGAGTCAGTGAGGAAGTCTGCAAGTAGCAGCGGATTTACCAGGTGTGGCATGATATCGTCCGGGAGCTGCACTAGCACCTTCTTGTATGAAGCCTGGGGTAATTTGTGGCGCAGTACAGCAATCCAGGCAAGACTGAACGCGTGCTGATGTTGCTTCACGCTGTGAAGACCCCTCGTTTTCTTTGTTTTATTCGCCTTTGAGTCCGCAGCCTTCCGCTTCGTTCCAGCAGTAGCGAGCACCTCTTCCTCCTCGTCATCGCTCTCTTCGTCACTGCTCACCAACTCTTGCTCCGGCAAGTTCGAGTTTTTGGGTTCCACAAGGAACGACGTGATTTCCTCTGCGTCATACGGCATCTGCACCATTCCGAGCAAGCGCAGCGCATTGGCAACCAGCGTCAAGTCCTGCTCCTCTGCGTTGTCCAGAATTTGCGCCAGATTCTTCAGCTATTAAAAAAAACATCCAAGCATCAGTTCCTCGCAATAATGTATTACTGTAACAGTATCAATCAGCCGTACCATGTAGTACTGGACGTCCATGTAGGCACCGACGTATTCGCCCTTGAACACACTGGCCAGCTCCCCCTTGAGCTTCTCCGTTTTCGCCAGCTCCTGCACCACGCGCGCAAATGTTTCGTTGCCAAAAGCGGGAGCGTTTTCTCCACGAATCTCGCCCTCACGAGAGACAAATTC